TCGGTACTGTACTTTTGTATTTTTAGTTCCTTTGCTAAAACAAAGAGCGGTGATTGGCGCTAAGAAGCTCATTGCTGATTGACCAGATTACGAGCCCTGAAAATGCTGCTAGTCTTAATATCAAGACGTGGACTGGCGGGAAAAAGCGTGGTTCGTCTTTGGGGATAGAAGTGCCCGGAGCTGGCCGGGACTCCGCTCGTCATTGCATTGTTTTTGAGTCGCGATGGTATTTTCTGTACGTAGGGCTGTGACCCTAGTTTGCTCGCGGGCCTGAGCTTATTCTAGCCTTCGGGCGTGTTTGCACTGCGGTGCGTGTGCGTGCGCGTGCAGTGCGTCGGGTCGTCCCTGGAAGCAGCGTGAAGATTCCGGACTCCCTGACGACTCCTCTTCATCGACCAGGAACTCCAAGACGGGCTTTGGCAGCGTCTGGACTACAGACAAGACTTTTATTTTATGTTGCAATTGGTTAGGGCCAACGTGTTCGATAAATTTTAGGTTGTCTTATCGAGGGTTGTTCGGGAATGTTTTTTAGCGTTGCTAACCGGGAAGTTAGTGCATGTACTCCCGAGGGTTTTTGGATAGTTCACTAAGTGATTTCTATGTTGTTCCTACTTTGTCGCCGCGCGCCACCGACTGTTTGGTGTTAAGTCTTATTAAATTTGTGTTTTGTCTTAGACCATCTACGTGTCGTCGCCTGGCATTGCACCGGGCGTGGACCTATCCCCTGCCATCGGTCCAACCTAGCACTTCTATTTTTTTTAAAGTAATTTTTGTTGGCCTCGGAGCGGGCTATTATTTTAATTTATTAAAGATTTTCCCCACTTCCCTGACAATATTCTTTTTAACGAAGCTAGCCATATATATCTATAGGGCAAACAGTGAAAAAAAAAAAACTTGTGGCATTTTTTCCGCAGATTGCAATAAAACCTAGGCTCAGTGGTGCTTAAACGTCTGTGAATTTGGTATGATCACGTGACGACTAGTCAAAAGTGCACAAGATGGTGTTGCCCAGCTAACTATCCTGTGCAATTTTAACTCACGTACGGGAGTGCGGTTTATCTTTTCGTCTAGCCCGTTGAACAATGCGAACTATAAAAAATTGACCCAGTTGTACAAAGATGTTTCTGTACAAAAATGTTTGCTGCAAGAGTATAACAGCTGGCGACAGGAAGTCGAAACATGGCAAATATTAAGGAAGTGAGCGCTTTTCTGGAGAGCCTGTTACTTCTCGATCAAATTTGACCAATGACAAAAGTTAAGGAGTGGTCAATAAAGTTAGGCGCCATTATTTTAATGTGGGAATGACATAGGAACTTGGCAACTTGAGTTTTTTTCTGTCCTCGAATCTTGATTTATTTTATATCTAACGTTAGTAGCATTGTAAATAAATGCTAAGACAGGTGCTTGTTCTTTCTTATCGCAATTCGATCTGCATATAACCCATAAACAATTTGTTTTCTTCGGATAAAATTTGTCTCGTGACTCATTCTGGCCCTTGCTGATATACCTATGACCTTTCCTATACTATACTTCTTGTATCATCTTTACTTGTGAATAGTGTTAATAGACAACAAAGTAATATTCAGCGCTGGAAAGAAGTATCTGTAATGTGTTCACTGTTTTGTTTATATAATTTATCGCACAGTATTTAGCTTAAGGTTATTGCATTCATGCGTCTGGAACAATCTACTTTTGTTTACTCTTCTAGGAAGTGCAACCAAACATAAAGCAGCATATCATACACACCATAATGTTGTGATCGCCTCAGGTGTTGAGATGTATAAGTACATATGTATTTCAATATTTTGTGTCCTTTCATCCATTTCAGTGAGACATAGTGTCATCAATGTTACCTTTCGTTACCTTTCCTTCTCTTCACAATATATACAGACCTGTCCTAAATGCCGATGTTAGGCATTACTTCAGGTTGCCCAGCTTCGGAGGAATGCAAGGAGCACTTTTTAGAGAAGAGCCCGTGACAGCCAGTGTGACTAACAGAATTACGGACATCATATTTCAGGGAATGACCAAACACGGCATGTAAGTTGTAGCTTAAATTACATTTTTCACATCTCATCAGAATGTACGCATATTGTTTCGTTATATGTTAGCTATAGCCCTAGTTACTAGTGTTATTAAGCCCTAAATGAACGCAGGAGGCGAGCAGTGGGAAGAAGAGATATAAGGGGCATGTATTTTGTACCTCCTAGGAACGCAAAAAAACAAACGTTCGGTTTGTGCCTGGTCTTTCCCGACCAACGAACTCATAGAACTCAAATTAAGCATTCTGGAAATTCGCAGCACGCCAGGCCTCCCGATGCACTAGTCCAATTTGATGTACGGAATATGAAAAAGGTCCCTCGAAAACACAAAGACGGTCATTTTGGCTGCACTGCCATGAAACCGCATTTTGTGATAACAAAACAGGATGCGTGTCGGCTTATTTGTGTTCCCTCTACTTTGTCTGTTCTGAACGAACGGTACAAAACGGATCACAGCAGTGCATGCCTCTCCATCTCCCTCTCCCTTCCCTCGCTAACAAAACCCGTTTGACGTCTAAGATTATCCTCGAAAATCAAGGATTTAACGTATGAAGCTGCAATTTTGCTTGTAAATGGCCTTTACTAGTACGAGCTGCATATTAACATTTAAAGTGTCAACTCCCGCTTAGAAGTATTTTCCTAAACCTTGTGTACTGTTAGACATTTCCCCAATGTTAAAACAAGCAGTTATTTACGCATTACTTTATTTGTGTCACGAGTTGAAGCTTCAACTTTTAATACCGTACTCGGTCTGGTAGCCAACGTATTATAGAAAAGTTACAACTTTCATTGTCGAGACTGACTTTTAAGGGTACCTTTAGTTGCTATGCGCAGCATACCTGAGACGAGGAATACAAACAGGACATACACGACACCGTCTAGGAGACGATGTCGTGTACGTCCTTTTGATGTTCCTATCTTAGCTTTAAAGTGCCTAACATGCACCAGCTTGCTTGCGCGATCAATCTACTTTCAGTTCTTATTTTAGATTTGCAACCTTTTGGGTAGGACATACCTGAGCCGGCCTGAGCGTACATCGACGTAGCCCTATAATACCACACGCCGCACTGTGCAATGTGGGATTCTCAGGGATCTTTGTGGGATTTTCAGGAAAGCTCTATGCTTCAGGTATGCAACACCTCATAATCGATAAAAAACCGGGAAGCGTTTCTACTTCAGCAGATATGTTGTGGTGAGTTTCTTATATCAAGGAGAGAAAAAAAGAAAATATTGGTATCACTTAGATAAAACAGGGCACAAAATGTTTCATCTGAGTGATGTACCAACTAGCTCAAATTACCACTTTACTACAGAAATATTAGGGTTTTATGTTGCAAAGCAACTGAGGCTATGACCGACGCTTCAATGACTGCTTAGGAAAGAAAGCACCAAGTATTTGAAACTTGCTCTTTACGCTCCGGAACCCGATACCGAACGTCTATACCACATCATACACCAAGGAGAACGCATATGCAACCGAGGTAGCATATACATCCTCTACTTGTACTGGAACAAGAGTAGTTTGCTGCACAATGGATTCAAGCTACTTTTATAATATATGAAATTCGGCCACCATAGAGAAACACGTATTTTTTTTTTCTTACATTGTGCTCTAATTAAGGTATATATATTCTGGGTTTTCTTGGCTTGGTTTTTCTTTTCAGCTATCGAGAAAACAAGTTATATTTAAAGGCTGTGAACCTACTTCTGACGCGGTATACACGCCTCGCTGTTGTGACCGGATATCTCAGCGGTTGTTGAAGATTAGACATATTTGCCACATTATGTGTTATAGTCTAGTTCTCTCTTAGCGAAAACTAACACGTTTGAAATAGGTCAAAATGTATCTCGAATGCATTGTAGGTGTATTTTGTGTATTAAATGTACTAGAAGTATAAAAGAACATATTTTTTTTTTAGTTTACATCCTATTAATACATATATGTAAACGCATACTAAATATACACGTAGTAAAAGCATATTCCAACCCCATCTAAAGTGCACTTATATGCTTACATACCATGTTCGCATACAATAAATAGGTTTCAGATATATGTTGAAAATAATTGAGCTAAAATTTCGCTGTTCGTACACCTCTGCAAAAAGAAATTGATCTACCTAAAAAGGTTGGAAGAGATATATATATATATAACTATATTTAAAAGCAGCGTGACAAGATGCAATTCTCCACATGACAAACGGGATTTCAAAATGGACCGTAATTACATAACACAGTGTAATTATCCCTCAACCTATTACAAACTCCTCGCAAAAATCTCATTCGTATAAGGAATTTTTTGTCCAAAAACCGCATATGATCAAACAAGGTCGTACAAGAACAGAAAAGAACACTATAAGATTGTTTAGAAAGTTATAACAAGCTTCTCATATATACTTTATATTTTAATGCTTTTTAGCTTGTTATAGGCTCTTATATTATCTTATTTTATCACATGTGCCTATAACCCCAAGAACATTCATATACAAATAATATTTTTTAACTAAAAAGTATTCACTCAAACAGTGCAAGTGTTTCGCACGGAAGATACGCTGTCATTTAGAGGTTTGGGTTAATAAATATTTTGACAAACAAGACAACGGACTGGTTTTGTTGATGGTCTAGAAGTATTATTTGCATTCATTTTATTTCGTTCTCGATTACACCACTCGCTGCAAACTTCCGGGTAGCGAAGATGTTTTTTTGTTGTTTTGTTTTTTTTCCACAAACTGCCACTATTCATTAGTTGATGATATATTAAGAGTTGAAAATTGAAGTTATAAGAAGATGTCTAAACATTCGGCTGCCAGCTAAATGAGTAAATTTGCAACCTTGGCTGGAGTTGTGAAACCTTGGTGGAACCTTGGCTGTCAAGAGACGCTGCAAGTATAACGCTGACATGTTGGAAAACTTTTCTGTGAGGTGGACTCTCGGTGTGAAAAAAAATGAAGTAACGCTAAGTTAACATTTTATTAGAGAATAGTGTATCTGATACCAAAATAGTCGCATTATTTTTGGAGTGATATAATGAGAAGTTGATTTTTTTGAAACGTCGCACACTGAAATTTTTTTGTTGCCTCTAATCGTTTTTTCGTTAATGCGGTCCACTCCTGCTTTTTCTGCGACAAAGCCAGTGAGAAATACGTCTTCTAAAGATATGAATGGCACTTGTTCCAACGCACTGTAGAGACGACGCAGAATTCTTCCGCCCAGCACATAGAAGGGTCCAGCTACAAAGGGCGGATATTTGGTTCCCCTGTAATCTTTCTTGGACACGTACCACTTGGAGGACGAATTTCTTATGGGTTGTTCACTTGTGTTTAACTCTCCATAAATGGCGTCTTCACTCTTGTTTTTCATCACTTTCAGGATGTTCCCAACGTTTACGAACGTATCGTCGTCAGACTTGAAAACAAAATTTACTTGCGGGCAGAATTGCAAGATCCATGTCATCATCATTTTCGCCTTTAGTGTTAGATTTTGATAGTGGTCAACATATGTCCCCTGTATAATATCCGCATGCACATATGACTCACTCTGAATGGCGCGCTGAACTTTGTCGTCTTCTGTCCTCCCCAGGAGAAAAGCTGTACGTATATTTGGATGCATCTTCAGTTCAGAGGCCCAAGTTTCACGAATGGCATTCCTTTGGTCGAAGTGCTTAGGAGCAGAGTAGATCAAGACCAAGTAGTCAAGATGCATCGGGGAATTTCCTGTTTTGCATAAATTTGGTGGGTGAAGAATGTAGTCTTCAGCTTCTGGACTTTCATGGTTGTCTGGTATGTGTCTTTCTATATTCCTACTTCGTGCGCGGGAGCCGACCTCAACGATGCTAAAGTTTTTAGCACACTTTCTATTTAGCCAGCTAAGGAGAATAACCCAAAGGAGCACCAGCAGCGTAACGATGACCAGACGTAAGCGTATGTAATAGGTTCTGTGATTCTTCATGGTTCAGTCAGCCTGCAAAAAAAAATCGCACAGTTAACTTGCTTTTTCGTTTGTAGTTCGAAAGAATGATCAGAAGTGCGTAAGTAATCAAATTATTTTGAAGAGCAGGAAGTTACTCAACAGATACAATAATGCGAAGTAATATGTCATTTTGAAAGTATAAAATTGCAGACTGATCTTTCTTTTAAAGGCTTTATAGTTGAAAGCTAGCTAAGATAAAATGAAAACCTTTATTTTGTACCGCCTTGCAATCCATGTAATTCTTAGCTACAATTATGCAAGGCTGAGGCAAGGACGAGTTGGTTGGTTGGTTGGTTGTGTTGTTTGCCAGACGTGACATTTGCCTCACTCACGGTGGCACGTTTCACGGGCCTGGGTTATTGGAGGTTGATGAGGGTGAATGCGGGGAAAGGGAAGAGAAAATATGGTGATGAAAGGGTCCGGGGATGACGAGGTAGTGTTAGCGAAATATTGACTAAACACGTTTCGCGGGCGAAAATAAAAAAAAAAAAAATGATTAGGGTCGTTAAGACGAACTGTCACATATGTTCAAACAATGCTATACACAACAGAACCCCATAGCGCGCACCATCAAGCACAAAATAAATAATGAAAGTACTTATATCCACCTAACTATACTTCGTTTCACCCCACGCGCGAGCGAAGGCAAAGCTGGAAGCGCGAGTGCTGGGGAGAAGCGCTAAAAGCGCTGGTCTCGCGCTCTCAGCCCCGGCCCCGCCCGCAGATAAGGCGAAACGAAGTATAGGCTACCGTTCTGAAGTTTCTTACACGTCACAGTCACAGTCTTGAGAGTAGTTCGCACGCGTCCAAAAAACAAAACACAAGTTTTCTCAGCCGTATGCACGTGGAAGTTGGTCCCTTCGATAATAATGTAGCTTCGAGCGTGAAAGGAATGTCCAACACTCTCAGGCAGTTCAAGAATTCAATTCGTTCGGGTGCGTAGTGTTCGCACTTAAAAAAATATGTGTTCAATTGTCTCTTGTTGGTCACAGTGTTGGCAATTAGGGCTGGCCGCTTTTCCAATCCGGTACAAGTTAACGTTTCTATAAGCGGAATCTGATCTAAGACGGTGAAGAAGGGAAGCAAACTTACGTGTTAAGCCCCGAGTACATGCCAGGGGAGGCGGGTCATGCGCTGCAATTCTTGAAACCGGGTGTCCATACTGCATCCAAGTTTGGATTGCTATTCTTGAGTCAGTCCGGGTCGGAAGCTGTAAAGTATAGCCGAAGGAAGGAGCAGAGCGTTGGAAGCCAGTTGGTCCTCCTTTTCATTGCCAGGAATGCCGACATGGGAAGGTATCCATTGCACTCGAATGTTACAGCCTCGGAAAACAAGTAGACGTCCCAAGTTAAATATCTCACGAGTCATGTTGGCATTAACGCCTCTGCCACTTCGAATGCGTTGCACTGCACACTGTGAGTCCGTTGCGAGCAGCCAGTTTTCTGGTGGCCTTTTCAAGATATAAAGAAGAGCTGCGTGAATTCCACAAAGCTCGGCCGTAGTCGATGAAACAGCGTGATCAAGCCGTCCTGACCAAGAATGGTGTTCTGATGGGATATGGTATGCCGCAGACGCGGAATCGTTAATGAGATTAACAGAGCCATCGGTGAATATGATCTTAAGTGAAGCCTGGCGGGACGCCAGGACGTCTTCCGTCAAGGCGCGGCTGACATGAGCACGGAAATGAAAAAGAAATTTTAGAAGTTACTATTTGTTATTAAAAAGTCCATACCCGAGAGATTACTGCAAGCTGCTTTCTGTTGCAGGAGGATTCAAGGGAGTTTCAGAGCATTATTTTGATGTTAGTAGTGTTTCCTATATCTTATACCAGGGGGTTCCGTTAAAAAACCTTTCATTGTTCAATACTATCCACGCCCGTGTAATATATTAATGGAGACTCTATCGCCCTAGCCGCAACGACAGGCGACGATATAATCACAGTGCTCACAGCCTCTCAGGCAGCGTGTCAGAATTACCTACGGGGACGCATCTCGAAAACAGCGCTTCGCATCCTCAAGACCATCCCCCGGCTCCCCGAAGTACACCTAGTCTGGGTACCCGGACACGAACACCTCGAAGGTAATGAGGCGGCACATGCCGCTGCCCGCGCGCATACACACCGGGCCATTACCCGAGAGGGAACAACCTCACTTGTTGCCCCCACGACCGACCTGCTCATCAACTATGCCGACATACTAGCCCACTACCGTCACGACCGAAGAAAATACCCGGCACCGCACCCAAGATTATCAAGATATGAAGCCACCACCCTCCGAAGACTGCAGACCAACACATATCTCCACAGCACCCTTCTTCACGCCATCTATCCCGCTCAATACCCCGCCACTTGTAATTTTTGTCCTTCTCCCGGCAGCCTTTACCATCAGGTATGGGAATGCCAACGAACCCCGGACCTCACTCCCAAACCCACCCCATCCTACGAGCAGTGGATGGCCTGTCTGACCAGCCCGGACCCTGGGATCCAGCAAGACTTGGTGACAAGGGCCCGGATAGCCAGCCGTAGCCAGGGTATCCCGGACTAAGGATGCCCTCCACCGGGCGGGTGCCCTAACATCTGCACCTGATGCTCGATAAATAAAGGTTTATTCATCATATCCTTCCATAAACGCCTTTTTTACATCCCAAATATTTTAGTGTTTTTTAGTTTTTTTTCTAAGATTGATGCAAGAAGAGCGCTAGCTAGTTCGGTGTCATTTTTTGGTTATGTGCTTGTACGATAAACTATCATTTAGGACAGCAGCCTTGCCTGTATATCTATATAAAATATCACCCTAAAATAAAATTTACGGTTATTGTCAGTTTGCTGCTCCCATTGGGTGTATGAATGGTGGTGTCCTCCTAAATTCACTTGCACCGTGTGCTTACTTGCGAGTAGCTTCACTCACGCAAAAGTTTTCTGATCACCGTATGGCTGTCGAGCTCTAAACACTATCATTTTTAAGGAGTCGCTCGCCGTTTTATTTTGTCATCCTGTCGATGCTAGTCCCCGAGCTGCTGAGCAGATCAGCGGTGCTTAAAACTGCCGTGTCGCAATTTTAATTTTTGTCTGCGATTTTTACAAAAGAAAATTTTAAAACGTCGCTCATAACGTTTGGTTCAGAAAATGCTAACTTTTCACACTTTTTCGTCTGGTCCCAGTGACTGCCGCTAGTTAGGACTGTGTGTTAGGTAACGCCTTGGTAGAATTTTCCAGTTTGAAAAACATTTTTCTTTATAGTCCTGAACCCCCGGAACAACCCACATGTCCATATCCACGGTGGCCTCTATAAACTTCTACGTGAAAGGTTTTATTAATAATGTGAAACACTACACAGTTCTTCATAACAATTAACTTCATAACGTAGCAACTAACTTCATAACAGTTAAAAGATATACCTGACAGGGAATCGGCCTCATAGGAAATGAGTGTTACTTTCGACCTGATAGGTTAAACATCGAATTGAAACTGTTAGCGCATACAAACAATCCAAATACTTTTTTTCTCTTAGAATCGAAACGTATCATTCAGTCATTTTGGCGGGAGTCATCGCTTGAATCACTAACTCAAGCGGGAAGTTTGGCCGCCACTAAATTTCTTTTGAAGCTAAACGCGAAATTATGACAATGTTGCCTTCGCGTTAACAGTGCCAAGCAGTGTACATGTTGTACTCTATACAAGCTCGGGTGAAAGATTGGGTGTGCACTGATTATGCTTTAATTTTGCGGTTCAACGAAAGCAGGCGTGTGGTGTTTTTCTTATGGCAGCAGAAAAGTGGCGGTTAAAGCGACGGATCAGTAGCTGGGCGATAACTAGTGCATGACAGCAGTTTAATAGCAGTGTTGTGCCCATTACCAAAAATAAGTAACGAATTAAGCTAGAAAAAAAGCTAACACATTTTACAACTCTGTTACCATTTTGCAAATGTAACGAAATAGCTCTGTCGTTATTTGCCATTACTAACGGATGTTACTTTTACGTTAGCTAGTCGTTATTTTGTGTTTCACTGTTACTATATGAGAGATTCTAATAATGAACGGCCTCTATAAACTTCGAGAACAATACACTCGTGTTCAGAGTGATTATTTATTTATTTGTACTCTTCACCGCCGCAGCATTACAGTGGAGGAGTTGGGTACATATCGTATTTATAACGTTGGAAACTCACACAAACAGCACAAGCAGACAGGGTTTCTAAACGATGGTGTCGTCTTTCCGGTGACCTGTCGCCGTTCAATGCTGCGATAACCTCGCCACTTGTTAGCTGGGCCAGCGTGTTTATCTCGCCTCGGCAAGGTGTGTAATGTATAACGTCGAACACGTGACGCTTCGAGAACGCGATTCGAGCAAGTGTAATGTGTATCCTCAACACGTTTAGATATTCGAGCTTGTTTCTCTGGCCTCGGAAGAATGTGTAATATACATCCTCGGACACGTGACGCTCCGCGAGCGCGATTCGGAGAATTGAACCTTGCCCATCGCACCTGCCTGGGAAGAAGAAACCGCTCTAAAAAGAACGACGGGATTCACGCCACGTGACCAACGCAAATATATATATATATATATATATATACCTCTTCATGTAATCAAAGCTAATACGGTAAAATAGACGTTATTTTGTTCCTTCAAAAATCAGCGTCGCATTTCCAATTAACGACACATAAACACCCGGCCACCGTTGACATACTTGCTTTTTTCAAAGTGTGAGAACGTCAACACCTTCAAACTTGGAGTTTTTCTTTTCTGTTGCTGACAGAACGAGAATTCATTTGTTTAAAGAGAAGGATGTGACCAACTGGAGTAGCTAGGGACGAAGAGCCAAAATCTTTCGAGCGGCGGCAGACTATTGCCTTCTGGGCAGATGTGTCTTTCCAGCAAGACGGCTGCTCAGGGTACGGCGACGGTGATCTTAGCAGCTTTTATACAAATTTGCACCAAAGACACTTAGGCGTTCCGCGCAGCGATAATCTCGCATCTTTTCGGGCCCCGTCGGGGAAACATTAAAAGTGTCTTCCGAAGGGGTTTGAAGTGACGCCACTTATACGTAGCTTTCTTGGGGTTTCTTTGTCACTTTTACGTAGTGTATATATTAAAAATGATTTTGTCTTCAAACAATCATGTGGGCATTTTAATCAAAAGTAACGGGTCAAGGGCAACGTAATTTGATAGGACATACAGTAAAATGATAACGGCATTACTTTACTCGTTACACATTTGACAATCTAACGAATAGTTTAGTACGTTAGTAAAAAATGAAAGTCGTTTACAACTCCCTGTAACGCCGAATTAGAGCGCAGCTCTTGAGGAGGAGGAGGAGGAGGGAAGAGTACGAGGGGGGTCATGTGACCTCGGGGGCAGCCTTGTACACGTTACATAAAAATAGTAAGGAATTACATTTACAATTACTCAAGGCTAAATTGTAATTTATTACAATTACAATTACTCCGTCATAAAAGTAATTGACCGTTACCCCAAAAAGTAATCCGTTACTTTCGTGGCGTTACTTTCAACAATATTGTCTTCAGTTAAGAAACAAAGGGGATCCCGTTATTCAAGTTCTTATTATTGCAACCTGTATCATTTAATGAAACTGAGTACTTTGGGGGGGGGGGGGGGGGGGAGCAACAGCTGACTTTCGAAAGTGTCGTCAGACATTTTGCGTTATTTCTTACTCAGTATGCGAACTGCTTCGCTGAACGCCATTTGAACTCTGGCACTAAGTGGGAGTGCCCTATTGTTCCTCACGAATGTTTTATGCTTTGCATTGGGCTTCTGCAGCGAAACAATGGGAGTACTATTGACTTCGAAGATAGAGCAAAGCTTCGTCATTGTAGCCAGCGCCTGATATTCGAGAGTTTAAGTAGATCGCTCCGATACCTCCGATACCACCGATAACAATGTGATGAATGCGAAAAGGCGGCGGTGGAGTATCGGGTATCCTTCTCGGAGTCATCAGACCGATCTACTAAAATTCTCCATATTCGAAATCGCGAAGCAGTAGAAGTCATCATACACCTAGCCAAAACTAGGATAAGAATTGAATTATGTCCATCTTACTATACCGGCCCATTTTGCCAGATAATAGCAAAACATAGTTGTAACAGTAAGGTGATAATTAAATAATAAATAAGGTTTGGCTTGATAATCTTCTTTTG